GGAAAAGAATTCATCCGCAGAGGCATATTCATCATCTGATTCACCCTTAACCAAGAAAATTTTAATTTCATTAACCTCATGGTAATCATCTATTTGGATTGAAACCTTAATAGTTCCATTATCCAATAACAACTGAATACCTTTTCTTACAAAGGAATAAACCTTAATAGTTCACATACTTATGTATTTGTTGTTGTTGATGATTCTTCCTGATGTTGATTGTTTTATGTATTGATAGATGGCCTTTGGCTCTTCTTCATCTAGTAGAGACAAAGCTACATATTCAGATGAAACCAATTCTAACAGTTATCAATTTGTAGGTGGAGAAAAGTATAAAAAAAGAGGTTCCACAATGATGGTTAAATTAACAAAAGTCTGCAAGTCGGGTGTCAAACTTCTGATCGAGTTTAGTGTTGTTTATATGATTCTTGATGATCCTTATTCCATACTTTATAAGAGTTATGTTGCATTACTTGGATGTAGCAAAGTTAGAATATTTTTAGATGATTAGAAAGATGTACCAGATAAGGTGAAAAGAGCATATGAATAGACGTTCAGGTATTAACTTTAATTTTCATCGATTCAATATTAGTTTATATAAAAACTAATACATACTTATTGATGTAAATGTGTAGTTGATGTTTGAGTTTTGTGATGATTTGAAGTTGAAAAAAAGTGATCACTTATGCTGGTAAGTCTTGGAGGAGTTTTAAGCCACGACTCACGAGTGACTACATTATGAAGCCTAAGCCTAATATTAAGCGCACATGGGAGAAATATCATTTTCTTGACAAGAAGGTTTGGATAAAGTTTGTGAAGTCTCGTAGATCTGTGAAGTTCATGGTTAGTACCAGTTATAGATACAACCATGGACGTAAATATTTTTCATATGTTTAAAACAGGTTAAAAGTGAAGCGGGAAAGGTGAACAAGGCTAAAAACAAGTATCCTCATAGATCTCGTGGGGGATACAAGAAACTTGAGAAAACAATGATTGTTGGAAAAAAGACAACTATTAGGATATGCAGACTCCATGAGCCGTGATCGAGAACCATCTCTACCATCACGCTGTGAGAAGTGGAAGATGGCTCGACAAATGTCAAATGGAGACTACACTACAGAGGTCTCAAGAATTGCGTTTGAGAAAATTATAAGTAAGACTTTGTTGTGCATATGTTAAGTATTATTTAAAATGCTTTGGTAATTAACAATGTACGTCTTATAATGTTGTGTAGGATTCGTTGGTTATCTCAGCCCTGAAGGTTCCTTTGTTACAGAACCACGACATGATATATTAATAAAAGCAATCGGAACAAAGGAGCATGGTGGGCGTGTATGCGGTGTTGGAGATGGCATCGACCTGAGGGTGTGGTTTGGTTTATTTAGAAAAAGCACCAAACAGGTGCAAAAAGAAACATTAGAAGATTTTGAGAAGAAATTGGAAAGTCAAAAGTAAGAATTCAAAGAGAAGTTAGAAGCTAAGTGGGAAACTCGCATGAAAGAATTAGAACATGTAAAAGAGTTATAAGTGGTATGTGAGAATATATTGTGATAATTATGTTTGTGTATGTGATAATATTGTGATAATTATGTTTTGTGTATGTGTGAATATTGTGATAATTATGTTTTGTGTATGTGAGAATATTATGTTAATTTTGTTTTGCGTTCATGTGTTTTCTATGATGTAGATAATAAGTGAAACTGTCTCAGAGTGTATGAATGAAGATGATGATGATGATGATGATCAAATTCCTGATATAAATGTTGTATATTATGCAAGTATAAAAGAAAGTTTTCCATCCGCCCTCACTAGTAAAGAGATTGATAACGGGTTGTTGAATCCCTCTGAAGGATCATATTCCAAAATTTTATCTACCGTTATGTGCCAAGAAGGATGAATGTTTACTCTTGTGCTAAAATATGATCCAGATATAGAGGTATTAGATAGTTTCGTCATCTTTCCTAAATATACAAAGGAATGGTCATTGTAAATCGATGGTTGGACCTAGGGTTATTACAAGTTTGACGCATGTAAGTATATTTCATTATGGCACATTCCTTGTTTTGTATAGAACTAATTCTTCAAGTATTTTTTTAATTTTGTTTAACCATTTAGGTACATTCACTGTGTTTATATAGAGTTAGATAAATTGGATACTTATGGATTGTTGGATCCAGTTAGAGTACGACTTATAAGTAATACTCTAAAAAAACATTGAAGACTTCTTAACATCACGGATAGTGGGGGGTGGGGCGGGAGAATGTTACTTAGAATCATTACTCCATAAGTGAGTACTTTTAAAATTAAAGTTAATATATTGTAGTTAGTTTTCATGTTTTACTAAATGTTAATTATATATGCTTGTATTATTCATTCGCAGATAATTTTCAATTGATTATCGTATCTCTTCGGTCGAATATGGTAACTACATTTTGTTCGTTAGACAAACCACTTGAACCTAAGATGAAAATTATCATTACTAGGTAACTTTATGTCTATGAGGGGGGGGGGGGGGGGGGGGGGGGGGGGGGGGGGATGTTACTTAGCATCATTACTTCATAAGTGAGTAATGATCATTCATTGTTTGGCGCATGTAAGTATATCTCATTATGGTACATTCGTTGTTTTGTATAAAACTAATTTCTCACGTGTTTTTTTCATTTTGTTTAATCATTTAGGTGCACTCACTCTGTTTATAAAGAGTAATATAAATTGGATACTTATGGATTGTTGGTTCTAGATAGAGTACGATTTATAAGTAATACTCTAAAAAATCATTGAAGACTTCTTAACATCACAGATAGTTGGGGGAGGGAGAGAATGTTACTTAGAATCATTACTCCATAAGTGAGTACTTTTAAAATTAAAGTTAATCTATTATAGTTAGTTTTCATGTTTTACTAAATACTAATTATATATGCTTGTATTATTCATTCACGGATAATTTTCAATTGATTATCGTATCTCTTCGGTCGAATATGGTAACTACATTTTGTTCGTTAGACAAACCACTTGAATCTAAGATGAAAATTATCATTACTAGGTAACTTTATGTCTATGAGGGGGGATGTTACTTAGCATCACTACTTCATAAGTGAGTAATGATCATTCATTGTTTGGCGCATGTAAGTATATCTCATTATGATACATTCATTGTTTTGTATAGAACTAATTTCTCACGTGTTTTTTTTTCATTTTGTTTAATCATTTAGGTGCACTCACTCTGTTTATGTAGAGTAATATAAATTGGATACTTATTGATTGTTGGATCCAGATAGAGTACGATTTATAAGTAATACTCTAAAAAATCATTGAAGACTTCTTAACATCACAAATAGTTGGGGGAGGGAGAGAATGTTACTTAGCATCATTACTCCATAGGTGAGTAATTTTAAAATTAAGGTTAATCTATTATAGTTAGTTTTCATGTTTTACCAAATACTAATTATATATGTTTGTATTATTCATTCAGAGATCATTTTCAATTGAATATCATATCACTTCAGCTGAATATGGTAACTACGTTATATTCGTTAGACAAACCACTCGAACCTAAGATGAAAATTATCATCACTAGATAACTTTATGTTTATGAGACTTTTTTTAAAATTTTTAATTATCTTAGCGTGTAATATTTTTAAATCATTTTCAATCTACAGAATTATGGAGTGAGACTATCATATGAACAACTCTAGAAAAAAGGACACGTTTTGTGAGTCCAAGGTAAGTGGATTACTTGTGACATTCACTTATATATATTCATGAAATGTGTGGTTATATATTTATGAAATATTTAAATTTGTAGACTAGGAGACAAGTAGGGGGATACGAGTGTGGGTACTATGTAATGAAACACATGTTTAACATCATAACTTTCGGCGTTGTTGATTCGTGAGATCAGGTATACGTAATGTCATAAAATGTGTTTACAATCACATATTAATGTTAAAGTAATTTTCTATTATCATTCAACTCACGCGATATTCAATTTTTTTCCACTTGTTTATGTAGATTTTCATCGACATGACACCTTTCTCTCCCGATAACTTAGAAGACGTCTGTAAACGTTTGACGTTTATTTTCAATGTGTTGGTTGAAAACGAATGTGATCATGTATGACTTTGTATTTGATGGTTGTAAATATATTTTTGTTGCTTAATTTGATATTTTGAGATTATTTTGCAAATATATGCATAATATACAGCTTATATATTTTGTAAACATGTTATAATATTCCTGAAATTTTGTTTACAATTTAATTATGAAAAAAATACAAGTTTGTAATATATGATAAAACAAAAAAAAAATATTTTAAAAAAACAAAGTATTTAATCACGGTTATTATATCAACCGTTGTGATAGAGCGTAAAATATGATAAACCATTCAATCACTAGGTTTCAAACCCATGACTTTTCGCTTTATATCACAACGGCTGTAGACTTGGACCGTTGTGATATATTGCGCGCTACCTAGTTTATCACAAGGGTCCTACGCCCGTAGTGGAAAGCATCGTACATACAATGACGCTTTACCTCACAACGGTTGGTCGGACGTGGTTGTATCCATTTTTCAACCATTGTGGTATGGCTTTTCTGTAATAGTGAGAAACGTGATTCTGTCTCGATTTCGATCACAAATTCAACGCGAGTTCAAGAAACGAAATCAATCACACACGCTTCACGTACATTCGTGTTTCCCTGTGAATCTAACTGAAACTCTAGATATCAATTGTTGGTGCACAAGGTTGAAGACGAAGATGAAGATGGAAGAAGAGAGAGAAGAGAAAGTGTAACTAACTTCTATCACAAAATTGAAATTGTGAATTCTATTACAAATTAAACTCACATTGGATTTATATACTAACACCCAAGTGAAATGAAACTCAAATACAAAACCAAATGAAATACAAATGAAACTTAATCTGAATTATATCTAACAAAAAGATTGTTTGAAGTGCAGGTAGGAAAATAATGAATGCATACAAATAACTACACCCTGTTTAACTAGAGGCACTAAGCTTTGATGTGTTCTCATTTGTGGATCCCAATTCCATCTTAGTTTCTTGTTCAACAAGGTGTTTGATATCCATAGGATAAGTGAAGCCTGAATCATGTGAATTATAAGACCATCTTGCAGTGAGTAGGTTCCAAGCCTCAGATGGATGGAATGCATCCCAAAACACATACTCACTCCTATTATAGCATGGTCTTTCATCCGGAATACACCCTCCAATCAACCTTAATGGACAACAAGGAGCATTTGGGACAACAAAACCTGAAATCCATGGATTCTGTCCATCTGATTCTAATGTACTGTTTATGAAGATGAATTTGGAATCAGCGGAGAACTTATTATTGAGATGATCCACTAGAGATTTAAGCTCGGCATCGAAAATGAATGGAGGAGAATTCTCCTCATCAACACAAGATCCATCTGTTCCATGATTTAAGATGGCATTTGGAATGCAGCCCAAGCGGCCCAACGTAACTAACACATATTTCCTTGCTCCAATGTCATGTAGTGCCTGTTATGGCATTATTATAAACCATCAACATCACATTATAAATAATGTAACTTGAATTAATATGCTACTACTCTCATTCAAAGACTGAGATTTTGAGGGGACATATACCAGTAAATTCAAAGATAACTCTTGAATCAGAGCTTCTGCATACTGCTGAGGACTATAAATCTGACTAGTTGGATAGAGTTGAGGAAGAAAGTAATTGTTTATGTAATCATTACTTCCTATATTCACATAATACAAGCATTTGTTAAGATATTGTCGAGCTTTGTCAAGACTTCCAAGTCTGGTAGCAATTTGAGAAACTGTAACTCCATGATTTGTTAACTGTAATCCCAAGCTGATAACAAAGCCCTATATAAAGACAAACATAATCCTCCAAGATCAAGTTGAATAACAAAAGCAATAATAAGTTTCTTAGATAGATTTATTATTACCGTAGCCTTGCTTGTTTCGTTTCGAATTCCAGCTCCACCAGATGCATAGTTCACACCTTTAAGTATGTCTGAGCCACTAGTGTTTGCAAATGGTGGAATAAATTTCTCAAAACCCAAAAGTTGAGCTGCAATCATTGAAAAACTTTCTTTAGTTTGAGCAGAAAGATTTTCATAATATAGTTAAGTCGAAAGAATGTTACTTATTATGTCGATTGCAGTTCGACCGTTGGTAAATCTTCCGGTTGGGCCGGTCGGAAAGTCGATTCCATAAGGTTTGTAATTAGATTTCGGAGAGGTGGGAAGATTATTGTTGTTACCACAATCAGATAAAGAGTCTCCAAAGATAAAAACACAGGGAACTTGGGATTTCCCATTGACACAATAATGCAAACAGCTTGCATACAAGAAAAGAATAGGCATCACCAACCAAGTCTTGATCATAGATTCCATCTCTTTGAAGAAAATCTAATGAAGCTACTGAATCCGGGAGAAATAATAAAATAACCAATCAAGAACAACATAAAAACATTAATATTAATTATGGGGCCAGATAATTAAAGAAAAATGGATTTGGCAAGTTACATTATTGAAAAAAATTTACAAACATCAAATGAAAATTTGTTTAAATAGTTATTTTTAAAATATTATTTTAATGTTATTTTAGATATTTTATTAAAACTTTTTTTAAATATTAAAATTTCAAAAAATTACTTAATTTTGAAGTTATTTTAAATAGATTTTCAACAAAATTATTTTTGAAATAGAACTTTTAAAAATAATATATTTTTCTCTTTAATAATATATATTTTAAATTAATATTTTTAATATTAAAAAAATTAATATGTCAAAATTAATATTTTAATTTAAAAAAAATTAAATATAAAAAAATATATAATATTTTAAAAAACAATTTAATAAAATCAATTTTGAAAAAAAAAAAATTTATTTTTTTGAAGATATTTTTTGTTGTAAGAGTACCTCGTTAAAATCATGTGGATATATTTTTCTACTCATGTCGTGTATTTATGTCTAACGTCATCACTTCTATATTGTACTGCAGCTTTTATTAATTCACTCATTTTTGTCCTTTTCATTCAATGATTATAGTCTTTATGTATTTTTATTTAATATGAATTTTGGATTTTTTTTTCCATACTCTAAATATGATGAATGATAATATTCATAATTTGGACTTTTATACTTTTTATTATCTCTCTCTAAAACAATTATGATTATAGTGTATAAAAATTTGATTAATATATTTTATAATTTATGTTCAGTTTAGTAATTAGAAATGACGAGGAATGCGAAGCCGTGGTAATATAGAGCTTCCATGGGATAGAGAACACGAAATATTATCCTAGTTCACCGTTAACTAAGCTACTTTCAGTCGATCCACCAGAATGATTTTGCCTTATCAACGAGGACTTAACGAAATAATCAGTTACATAATTACAACCATAATGACTAACATCAGTTACTCAATGAATGTTAACTAGTTGGATAAATACAATGTTTGTATGTATACATATTTGCTTTTACAAAAGCAGATTACACAAATTTAAGCTTTAAATGAAAACACTTAAAAGATATGAAAACAAAAAGCTTTTAGTGTTTCTCTTGTTATCTTTGAAGATCTTCGTAACCCTTGCTCTTCTTTTCTTTCCTAGATATTATTTTCTTCCTCCACTTGTAATGTGTTGACTTTCTTATTCAGTTTTATATATTTCTTGTAGTTTAGCTTCACTTATCTTCTTAATTTCTCTTTCATACTTTTATGAAGTTTTACACATATTTTCTTCTTCTTGTGTGTATATTCTTCTTCTACAGATTCACTGACCACCTTCTGTGTGTCTCTCACTCTCTTGTGTATATTGTCTGCATACTTATTCAATCTTCTAATTACTTTAAATAAATAAAGAAAATAGATTTGTTGGAGAATAAGAGATAGAGTACCCTCACAATAAATAGTTGTTGGAGACGTTAGCTAGTAACATAGTAGAGTGGCACTTGTAACACTAGGATAAATGATGGGATGTGTGAAAGAAGAAATGATACAATGTACAATCCCTTATCCTAATTTTCATGGTAGTGGATAAGATATTATACTGTTGTCGCGTGATCTTGTACTTTTATAATATTTCCACACAAACTCCCTTCACAGCTAACTTCTTATTCAGAGGCTTCTGATAGAAGTAGGTGAAGCTTACACTAAAAGTGTAATTGATTACATACCCGTTATGTTTTCACACTTTTCAGGAGTTCCAATCTATTACACCAAAAGTGTAATAGGTTACATACCCATTATGTTTCAAAAGAAATAAAATCCCAGGGGTGGTAATCGTTTACGCTAAAAGTGTATTCAGTTACACGTCTGCCCAGATTCACAAAAACTCTAGATTTTATGCATGTGATCGATTACACACAGAGTCTAATTGTTTACATTTTTCTATTTTTTCAAAAAAATCACATTTAAAACCAAGTTTCTATAGACCAAAACACAATCAAGTAAGCCCTAACACATACTAACATGGTTAGAGGATCAAATACAACATAAATAACTCGACCAAGTTAGCAACATATGATCACACCATATTCAACATGCATTCACAAACACACACATATTTCACATATTCTAAACAAGATTCAACCATCCTACATTAACCCGGACATGAAATTTGGGCTAGAATCTAACAAGAAATCCCCATCTTGATAAGAACCTGGATATGGAGTAGAAATGAGATAATGAGAGGTTAAGGATGATGAGGAAAAAAACTGCCTTAATGCCTTTTCTTCAAGAATCTACTAGGAGTTCACACATACCAGGCCATTTGATGATGAACTCAAGAACTTCCTCTTCTTCGTCCTTTAAATCTCGCCTACCTCTCTAGCTTTTATCCCCTCTTCAAAATTAGTTTCAAAGTGAGAGAAACAAGGTGATAAATGAGACAAAATCTTCTCTAATTGACTTATATATTATACATGAGAAAAGTCTATAATACCCTTGGAATTAAATCTAATTCTATAACCATGCCATTCTTCACTAATCTAGGAGCTTTAGCTCACTAATCACATCATTAGACCACTAATATGTCATTAGTAGAACAATGTTTAGTATTATAAAACTAGATGTTACTTTTCCCCTAATTAAATTATGCATTTATTCACCATTACTATATTTTCACAACTCATTCAATATACAATTCCAAGATTTGAAGGTTTCTATGAACATTGTCAATGTTGATGGAGAAATTTTTATTTAATCAAAGGTGTATTGAGGATTGATCGAGAATGGAACCACAGTTGCATCTCCAAATGCAACTCAAGAACATTTTAAGGTTGTAGAGTAAATTGAAATATTTGAAAGCCAATAATTACATGTTCCAGTCTATTGATAGGTCGATCATGGAAACCATACTCGTGTGTGACATGGCAAAGGTTATTTAGAATGTTATACACTACAAGTATCATGGATCTTCAAAGGTCAAATGAACACACAAGCAATCTGTATGACGAGAGTTTGAGGTTCTTTCCATGGAAGAGAATAAGATAGTTGATGAGTACTTTTTAAGTATGTTTGCTATTGCCAATCGAATGATAACACATGGAGATAAAAATAGAGCAAGTGTGGGTTATTAGAAAGATCTTGAGGTTTCTTTGTGTGCTTCATTGAAGAGTCCAATGATATGAAAACTTTATCCATTGGTGAGCTACAAAGTAGAATATATGTAATTCATGGTCCAGTTATCATGTCAATGTTCTTTTAGATAACTAATTGATTTGCATCTCAATTGTGACATATGAGATATGCACACATAAGCATTAAAGGTCTAGACATACTTGTGAAGAAGAAAATGGTGAGGGGTTTTCTAAACCTAGTAAGCATAGAGGAAATATCACTACTACGGAAAACTCAATTAACAATGGTTGGGAAAGATATATAACAACACGGACCCAGATGTTGTTATGTAGAGTGTCGTTGAATATATGATACTTACAATCACGACCCAATAACCATTATAATAAATTGGAAAGTGTGCTCCCTATCACAAAGTTTTTCCAAATGACTGTTGTGATAAAATTAATGGTCATAGGTTCGATTCCCTGCTGCACCGTTTTGATATTTATTTTTTTTCTGGACAACGTGCGAGATATTATAACGGTTATGACTATAATTGTTGCTAAATTTTCTGCATAATTAACAAATCTTATCCTGATTTTATAATTAATCCCATTTTTTTAACCTGTATTATTGTTCACCATATCAAAGCAGAAAATACAACTCACATTTGTGATAAAGTTATCAGAATAATATTAATTGTATCATATTCATAATATCACATAATTGTATTATATTCAATTGTACTATAACAAATATCCTACAATTTATCAGAATAAACAACCTATAGTTTACACATTACATAACATCATATAATTGTAACTGGGTGTTTTGGTTTCTTGTCTCTTGGTGTCTTGTCTCTTAGTGTCTTGTCTCTTGGTGTCTTGACTCTAAAGATCTATAATTTAAAATAATTATACTTGTTAGTAAATATACTTGGAAATTGTTGTACCCCAAAATTTGCCCTCCCATTTCCTCAACATTTTATCATCACAAGACCTTTGAAGATCAAGATCCAGTTAGGGTTTCCTCTGCTCAAGACTTCTCCTTGCACTGTGGACTCAAATTAGGGTTTGTGTTTGCCCAAGGATGTTTTGACCTAAAATGCCTAAGATGACTTTCATGCTTCATGTTGGACTCCCAAGTTTACCCATGCCAAGTTTCAAGTCTTGATTCCAAGTTTTGCCCAGTCAATTGGACAGTTGACCTAGAAATCAGCTGTATTGGGGAAAAAGTCAACTATGATCAATTGACAGTCAAAACTCATGATTTTTGACCCACATCAACATTATGAACTCATATGGACCATTTGATCAAGTTTGGATCACAATTCCACAAGAAATTTGATCAGATCACCAAAAGGGCAAAATGGTCATTTTTAGGGTTTTGACTGTACAAAGGCAATTTTTGATTGTTTGACCTAGCCAATGGCAAATCAAGCTCACATATGGACTCAAGGACTCAATGAAATGGTCTTGGCACATTCATCAAGCTCAAAAGATCCCAAGTACACAAGATTGACAGTTGAATTTCCCAGTCAATTGATCAATTTTGACTGTACACTGAAAAGTCAAACTTTGACTTTTTGGTCAAAATCAAGAGTCAAGATTCATTTTTCATCAAAACATGCCAAATCATGAAACTTGTTCACCAAGAAATCACAAAATGCAAATTAGGGTTTGAAAATGGAATTTTTCATAACTTAGAATTTTTCTAAGTTATGAAAAACCCTAATTTTTGCCCAACTTTGCCCCATCCTTTCACCAAGATCCATTTGGATTCAAACAAAAGTCAAAACATGAAAGTTGTAGCTTGTTACATAATCTACAAC